AGCCCCTTTCCAAAGCTCCAGGTAATCCCTTTGAAGTACGGCCTTTCCTAAAACAAGGGAACCAGCGTAACACAATCCTTCCAATTTTAAATAGTATGTTCATCACATTCATCATGAACAAAATTGTTGCCACACAATTTACATAATTATTAGAGGCAACAGTCAGTCTGGGAATTTCTAGTATCCAGCATTTAATGTAAAGATAGGAAGAATACCTTTCCCAAATGTCTCGCCAATTGAACACTGTTGGATTTGGATTGTCCCACATGTAGTAACCTAAAACAGGTGCAAAAGCTGCTAAAAGCACATTGAAAATTAGGAAAGTGGCCATTATTTATACGTTGTCCTCACTGTTCCTAAACAAGAGGTATATTTATATAAACAAATCCCTCTTGGCTGCAATCCCAGCACTGTTCCCAAACAAATGCAATGTTTGGCAGAACTTGGCCACCTGCCCCAAAAATTGTTACCAAAACAACCTACTGGTAATCTCGGTGGAACCTCCAAAAACTGTCCCAAGTAAGACTTGGCTCCCAGCCAAGTGCCTGGACCCCGGGGACAAAACCTTCCCCCTCCCTTTCACTTTCTCCCAGCTGATCGAAAAAAAACTAAAAGAACCCAAACCGAATAAATTTCAAACGGAAGATTTATATATAAATAAAGAAAATTAGATACACTATTAACCAAAGGGAACTCCCCAAAAGGGAAAAGGGAAGGGAAAGGGAAAAGGGATAAAAAGGGATACAAAAGGGATACAAAAGGGATAAAAAATCAAATACTCCCCTCGAGAGGAAGCGAGCCACACCACACAGCTACCACAGCATTGTCCGCCTCTCAAGGCCAACCAGACACGCCAGGCCTCACTCCCTCACCCGGGCAGAGCGACAGTAGAGCTACCTCCACCTTGGGTCCGCCGGAAGAAAGAGAGCGAGAGCTTCCTCTCTCTCCTTAATTATCCTCTTGCTTACGTAAAATCGTATGGAATACTGGGAACATGACCTTGGTTCCTTGGTTACAACCTGATGGGGTGGTTTTAATCTAGGCCTTCCCTGGTTACCAGTTTGTAACCAAGGAAGGGGCAGTGTTCCCAGTATTCCACACGATTTTTACGTAAATCGTGGTGTAAATAAGAAGGGAGGAGCGGCCTTTGTTCTTCTTCTCTTCCGCCGGAGGTTGGGAACAGTGGGTCCCTGCGTTGGTCTGGCTTATCTAAGGCTGAGACCTGCAGCATCCACTGACCTGCCACGTGGAAGCTTGGAGAGTGCTGGCAGTGTCTGCCAATCCTGTTTCTTTCTAAGGGACGTGGTGAGATTTGTTTTACTAGTTATTTTACTGGTTCTCGGGTTTGATTGCGCGTATCTATTGGGTGTCCCTTTTTGTTTCCTTTTGTCCCTTTTTTCCCCTTTCCCTATCCCTTTGGGGGGTGTTTGGATTCCTCTTTGCTGTGTACATAACATCTTAACTGTAATATACGTAAAATATATTTTTTATATATAACTGGCTTGGTTTTCGGGTTCTTCAATTTGCATCGTTTTTCTTTTCCTTTGCCCTGGGGGAAGTAGAAAGGGGGGAAGAGAAGGGGCTGCTACTGGGGGGGGGGGGGGGG